ATCCACTGGGGTTCTTGACACATGTCCCCCGCAGATAAGGGTGGACTGCTGTGGTTACCAGCCCAGAACTTTAATTTATAATTGATTAACTGAAGAGCTCTTCCCCACATTCCTACAAAGAGGAGTTGCTCAGTGGTGCTTTTGCTGACTGTGATTCTGCGGTTCCAGTAATGATTCCAAACTTCCATTTTCTGCCTGTTGAGATCAAAATTCCAATTAAAAATGAAATAACCAGAAATTATTCTTCAGCATATATACCCCAAGAGGATGGGTAACAAAGAGTTAAACCAAATGTCTGTTTCAAGTTTTATTACAAAGTATTGTATTGGGACACCTTGATTAAATATCATTCTGGACTATAATCTCTGCTTATTTTATAAGGTATACATGAAAATTGAAGAGGAAAATTGTAACTATAAGATGCTACTTTGTTGCATTACTTAACAAGACACAATTTTTTCAAACTGAAAACAATTTCAAACGGAAATGTTGTCAATGTCTTTTCTGACACACAACAATACATTGTTACGAAACATGAGAGTCCTAGAGCCTCTGCCAAATGCTAGCACCTGAATTGATACACTATTTTTGACAAATGCTTTGCTAATTACTTCTGGCACGACTCCGCTCTTAGAATGAATAGCTTTGTACACAGTATTACTCTGAAACAGAGTGACACCAAACAGTTATTGTGAGAAAGGAACAAACAGGTGGAACACCCAGCCGTTTCCTTCATTAGTTAGGACAATGCTATGTGATCGTGGCTCCTGGTCCCAGAGCTCCAGCCCCAGTGTGGTTCGATAGTTCAACTCCTGCACTCTGCAATTGCACCTCCTGTGTGCGTGTGCACACACATGCATACACACCCATGGCAAATTAGCACCAACTGGATGGAATAGAGCAACGGAAATTTATTCTCTCACAGTTCTGGGGACCCAAAGTCCAAAATCAAGACCCCAGCATAGCTGAGCTGATTCCATCTGGGGCTCAGAGGGACAGCCTGCCCCTGGCCTCTGTCGCAGCCATTGATGGCTCCTGGAGCTCCGTGGCTCTCCTCCGGGCATTGGTCCAGTCTCTGGTTCCATCTCCACATCACCCTCACCCTCGTGTCTGTCTGTGTCTCCTTCTGTGTCTCCACAAAGAGTCTTTTCCCAGTATGGCCACATTCTGAGGCTTGGTGTGGGCATGTTTTTATTTTGTTCACCCTATGAACATTGGGAAACAATTAGAACATTGACGTGTTAGACCTATCACTCTGACTAAACTTTGGTGAAGGTGTAACAGATACTTGTTGTTGCTGTTGTTGAAGGAACAAAAACATAAACAAGTGAATACAATATATCCCAGCCAAAGCGAGATTCAGCTTTCACTTAGTCCCTCTCCACCTGCTTTGCAAAATAATCCCAACTCTCCCCAGTTTCTGGCATTAAATTGTCTTCCCATCTTAGCCTTTCATGTTGCAAAAGCAATTTATGTTTTCTTTTTTCACATACACTTTGTGAGCTATTTGAAGAGCCTACATTCCAGGGCTGTTAGTAATATTCTAATATTTTTTCCAGAAAATTTTAGATATATATTACATTCAGTTCACTGTTCAATGAAACCAAAGTGTGAGTTTTAAAAAAATACTTCCCACATGACATGCTTTACTAGATCTTCCACCACCCACAGTGCTCTACAGTGTGCACATTTTTATTCAAGGTATAATTTCCAGCACCCAGGTACACTCTGAGAATTGAGAATATTGTTAGTACAGTAACTCCATTAATATTTTGGACACTCCGTATAATGCAACGTGATTGCATAAGTGACTTGATCAAGATGATCCCACTGGTGACCCATTCGGTTGTGGTTACCTTGTACAGTTGGGTTTTATAAAATTGTCTCATAATCTGTTGAATGTAATTGATGATTTAAAAAAAACATAGTGGTAGACTTTCAATTTTTCTCTGCAAAATGTCTATGAAGATATTTTATAATTATGATTCTAGGCCTATTGAAATCACTCAGCAGGCAGTAACTGAGCAAAGAGCCCAGCGCTGACCTGACTGCGGCTTCCTTCCTTCCACGTTGCCATATGCCGTGGTCCCAGTGGTGGTGTCCCCTCATTCACATGTTGGAATCCTGACCCCAAGAGGATAGTGTTAGGAGGTGGCACCTTTAAGAGGTGATTAGGTCATGAATGGGATTTGTGCCCTAACAAAAGGGGTCCCAGGAAGCTGCTTCACCTGTGAGAAGGAAATGAGAAGTTTCCATCTATGAACCAGGAATTGGGCCACTCACCAGACCCAAACCCTCTGGCATCCTGATCTTGGTCTTTCAGCCTCCAGAACTGTGAGCAATAAGTGTCTGTTGTTTAAGCCACTCAATCAGTTGTATTTTGTGATAGAAGCACAAATGGACTGAAACCATCATACATTTGTTAGCCAGCACAAGCACCCCTGGGATACAGTTGTTGATATATATATATATATATATATTCCCACCCCTATTATAGTTCTATAAACTATAAATTATGTTCTAGAAACTTCTCAGATGCTTTAAGCCATTTTGGTTTATTTTGTAGTTTGAGGTAGGCTTCCAGCCTCATTTTTCATATGTGGATATCCAGTTGTCCCAGAACCATTTGTTAAAGACTCTTCTCATTTAATAGTGTTGGTGCCTTTGTCAAAAATCAATTAACTGTAAATGTGAAGATTTGTTTCTGGATTCTCCATTATCTTCTGTTACTCTATATGCTTATCTTTGTGTCAGTACCCTTTGGTTACTGTAGCATTTTAGTAAATTTCCATATTGGGAAATGTGTATCCTTCTTTTAAAAAGTTATTTTGACTACGCTGTGTTCTTTGATTTTCCATATTGATTTAGAAGCAATTTGCCAATTTGTTCAAAGAAGCCAGGTAGGGTTTTTCTAGAGATTGCACTGAATCTATAGATCAATTTGGAGATTACCACTCTCTTAACAATTTTAAGTCTTCTGATCCACCGACATGGAATGTCTCTCGGTTTATTTAGTGTTTTTTTTAAGTCAACAATGTTTTTTAGCAAGTAAGAGTAAGCATTACATTGAATTTCTTTTTTTTACATTTATTCATAAATATTTTTGGCTTTTTAACACTATTATCAATGGAATTGTATTCTTAATTTTATTTTCCAATTGTTTATTGCTAGTGTGTAGAAATAAAATTGATATTTGTACATTTAGCTTACATTTTACAACTTCGGTGAAATTCTTTTTGTTCTAATAATTTTTAGTAGATTACTTGATTATTTTCTGATGTAGAAAATTATGTTATTGGCAAAGAGAGATAATTCTACTTATTCCTATCTAACCTGGATCACTTATTTTATTTTGTGATCTAATTGCCCTGGTTAGAACATCCAACACAGTGTTGAATGATGACAGCAGACAAAGTTTTTTTTTTTGTTTGTTTCTTATTTATGTGGAAAGCCTTCAAGCTCTCAATCACTTATGAAGTTAGTTTTGTTGAGGTGTTTTGTTTTGTTTATTGATGCCCTTACCAAGTTGAAGAAATTCCTTTCTATTCTTAGTTTGTTGAGTTTTTAATCATGAAAGATTGTTGAATTTTGTCAGATGCTTTTTCTTGCATCTTATTGAGATGATCATATGACTTTTGCCCGTTACTCTATGTCCACGGAGTATTATATTCATTGATTTTCTGTTGTTATGCCACACTGGCATTCTTGGGATAAATTCCATTTGGTCACAGTGTTGCTGTATTCTGTTTCTAGCATGTTGGTTTTTGTTGAGGGTTTTTGCATCTATATTTAAGAGAGATGTTGATTTATAGTTTTGGGAGGGCGTTATTTTTATTTTTTTCCTTTTTTTCTCCACATCACCCTCACCCTCGTGTCTGTCTGTGTCTCCTTCTGTGTCTCCACAAAGAGTCTTTTCCAGTATGGCCACATTCTGAGCTTGGTGTGGGCATGTTTTTATTTGTTTCACCCTATGAACATTGGGAAACAATTAGAACATTGACGTGTTAGACCTATCACTCTGACTAAACTTTGGTGAAGGTGTAACAGATACTTGTTGTTGCTGTTGTTGAAGGAACAAAACATAAACAAGTGAATACAATATATCCCAGCCAAAGCGAGATTCAGCTTTCACTTAGTCCCTCTCCACCTGCTTTGCAAAATAATCCCAACTCTCCCAGTTTCTGGCATTAAATTGTCTTCCCATCTTAGCCTTTCATGTTGCAAAAGCAATTTATGTTTTCTTTTTTCACATACACTTTGTGAGCTATTTGAAGAGCCTACATTCCAGGGCTGGTAGTAATATTCTATATTTTTTCCGAAAATTTTAGATATATATTACATTCAGTTCACTGTTCAATGGAACCAAAGTGTGAGTTTTAAAAAATACTTCCCACATGACATGCTTTACTAGATCTTCCACACCCACAGTGCTCTACAGTGTGCACATTTTATTCAAGTATAATTTCCAGCACCCAGGTACACTCTGAGAATTGAGAATATTGTTAGTACAGTAACTCCATTAATATTTTGGACACTCCGTATAATGCAACGTGATTGCATAAGTGACTTGATCAGATGATCCCACTGGTGACCCATTCGGTTGTGGGTTACCTTGTACAGTTGGGTTTTATAAAATTGTCTCATAATCTGTTGAATGTAATTGATGATTTAAAAAAAACATAGTGGTAGACTTTCAATTTTCTCTGCAAAATGTCTATGAAGATATTTATAATTATGATTCTAGGCCATTGAAATCACTCAGCAGGCAGAACTGAGCAAAGAGCCCAGCGCTGACCTGACTGGCGCTTCCTTCCTTCCACGTTGCCATATGTCGTGGTCCCAGTGGTGGTGTCCCTCATTCACATGTTGGAATCCTGACCCCAAGAGGATAGTGTTAGGAGGTGGCACCTTTAAGAGGTGATTAGGTCATGAATGGGATTTGTGCCCTAACAAAGGGGTCCCAGGAAGCTGCTTCACCTGTGAGAAGGAAATGAGAAGTTTCCATCTATGAACCAGGAATTGGCCATCACCAGACCCAAACCCTCTGGCATCCTGATCTTGGTCTTTCAGCCTCCAGAACTGTGAGCAATAAGTGTCTGTTGTTTAAGCCACTCAATCAGTTGTATTTTGTGATAGAAGCACAAATGGACTGAAACCATCATACATTTGTTAGCCAGCCACAGCACCCCTGGGATACAGTGTTGATTATATATATATTCCCACCCCTATTATAGTTCTATAACTATAAATATGTTCTAGAAACTTCTCAGATGCTTTAAGCCATTTTGGTTTATTTTGTAGTGTGAGGTAGGCTTCCAGCCTCATTTTTCATATGTGGATATCCAGTTGTCCCAGAACCATTTGTTAAAGACTCTTCTCATTTAATAGTGTTGGTGCCTTTGTCAAAAATCAATTAACTGTAAATGTGAAGATTTGTTTCTGGATTCTCCATTATCTTCTGTTACTCTATATGCTTATCTTTGTGTCAGTACCCTTTGGTTACTGTAGCATTTTAGTAAATTTCCATATTGGGAAATGTGTATCCTTCTTTTAAAAAGTTATTTTGACTACACTGTGTTTCTTTGATTTTTCCATATGATTTAGAAGCAATTTGCCAATTTGTTCAAAGAAGCCAGGTAGGGTTTTTCTAGAGATTGCACTGAATCTATAGATCAATTTGGAGTTACCACTCTCTTAACAATTTTAAGTCTCTTTTTTTTTTTTTTTTTTTTGAGACAGAGTCTCACTTTGTTGTCCAGCGCGAGGTGAGTGCCGTGGCGTCAGCCTAGCTCACAGCAACCTCAAACTCCTGGGCTCGAGTGATCCTTCTGCCTCAGCCTCCCGAGTAGCTGGGACTACAGGCATGCGCCACCATGCCCGCTAATTTTTATATATATATCAGTTGGCCAATATTCTTTCTATTATGAGTGAGACGGGGTCTCGCTCTTGCTCAGCTGGTTTTAACTCCTGACCTTGAGCAATCCGCCCGCTCGGCCTCCCAAGAGCTAGGATTACAGGCGTGAGCCACAGCGCCCGGCCTAAGTCTTCTGATCCACCGACATGGAATGTCTCTCGGTTTATTTAGTGTTTTTTTTAAGTCAACAATGTTTTTAGCAAGTAAGAGTAGCATTACATTGAATTCTTTTTTTTTACATTATTCATAAATATTTTTGGCTTTTTAACACTATTATCAATGAAATTGTATCTTAATTTTTTTCCAATTGTTATTGCTAGTGTGTAGAAATAAATTGATATTTGTACATTTAGCTACATTTTACAACTTCGGTGAAATTCTTTTTTTCTAATAATTTTAGTAGATTACTTGATTATTTTCTGATTGTAGAAATTGATCTTTATTGGCAAGAGAGAGATAATTCTACTTATTCCTATCTAACCTGGATCACTTATTTTATTTTGTGATCTAATTGCCCTGGTTAGAACATCCAACACAGTGTTGAATGGTAACAGTAGACAAGGTTTTTTTGTTTGTTTGTTTCTTATTTATGTGGAAAGCCTTCAAGCTCTCAGTCACTTATGAAGTTAGTTTTGTTGAGGTGTTTTTTTTTTGTTTTGTTTATTGATGCCCTTACCAAGTTGAAGAAATTCCTTTCTATTCTTAGTTTGTTGAGTTTTTAATCATGAAAGATTGTTGGATTTTGTCAGATGCTTTTTCTTGCATCTTATTGAGATGATCATATGACTTTTGCCCGTTACTCTATGTCTACGGAGTATTATATTCATTGATTTTCTGTTGTTATGCCAAACTGGCATTCTTGGGATAAATTCCATTTGGTCACAGTGTTGCTGTATTTTGTTTCTAGCATGTTGGTTTTTGTTGAGGGTTTTTGCATCTATATTTAAGAGAGATGTTGGTCTATAGTTTTGGGAGGGCGTTATTTTTATTTTTTTTCTTTTTTTTTTCTTTTTTTTTGAAACAGGGTCTTGCTCTATTGCCTGGGCTAGAGTGCAGTTGCCTCATCATAACCTCAGACTCCTGGGCTTAAACAACCCTCCTGCCTCAGTCTCCTGGGCAGCTGGGATGACAGGCACATGCCACCTTGCCCAGATAATTTTTATTGTTATTATTTTTGTAGAGATGAGGCCAGGTTATGTTGCTGAAGCTGGTCTCAAACTCCTGGTCTCAAGCAATCCTCCTGCCTCAGCCTCCCAAAGTGCTGGGGTCACAGGTGTTAGCCACAACCCCTGGCCTGTTTTCTTTTCTTGTGATGTCTTTGTTAGGTTTGGTTTTAGTGTAATGCTAGCCTTATAGGATGATTTGAAGAGTGTTCACTACTTGTTCTTATGGGTAGTTCATTGTTTACTTGTTTATTGTGTTTACTAGGCTATTGTGAATAATAATGTTATGAATAATTGTGTACACGTTTTGTGTAGGCATACGTTTTCTGTTGTAGGTCTGTTCAGATTTTCTACTTTTCTTTGAGTCAATTTTGGTAATTTGTGGTTTTCCAATAATTTATCCATTCCATCTAAGTTATTTTTTTCTGGCATACAGTTACTATGGTAATCCCTTCTAATACTTTTTATTTCTCTAATTTTGGTGGTGATGCCCCCTCTTTGATTCCTGATTTTAGTAATTTGAATCTTCTCTTTTATTTTACTTGGTCATTCTAGCTATTAATTTGTCAATTTTGTTGATCTTTTCTTAGGACAAACTTTTGGTTTTATTTATTTATTATTGTTTTTCCATTTTCTGCTTCATCAATTTTTTCTCTAATCTTCAGTATTTCCTTCCTTCGGCTTGCTTTGAAATTAGTTTGCTCCACTTTATCCAGTGACAGAGATGGCAGGTTAGGTTATTGAATTGTGATCTTTCCTCTTTTTTAAGGTAGACACAGCTGTAGATTCCCATCCAAGCTTTTTTTTTTTTTTTTTTTTTTCTGCATAAAATAAGTTTTGGTATGTTATGTCCTCATTTTTATTAATCTCAATGTATTTTCTAAGATTGCTTGTGACTTTTTTCCTTAACCTTTTTGTTATTTAAGAATGCATTGTTTAATTTCCAGATTGTGTGCATTCCCAAATGTCTTTGTTATTAATTTCTAATTTCATTCGATTGTGGTTGAAGACATACTTTGTATGATTTTAATTCTTTTGAGAATATTAAGACTTGTCTTTATGTCCCAGTGTATTTTCTATCCTGGTGAATGTTCCCTGAAGAGTGTGAATTCTGCTGTCTGATGACATGTTCAGTAGATGTCCATTGCACTTAGGTGGCTTTCAGTTTTGTTCAAGTTTTCTGTTTCCTTGGTTTCCTTCTGTTTCCTGGTCTTCTGCTTGGTTGTCCTATTCACTATTGGAAGGAGGGTATTGAAGTCTCCCATTTTTATTCCTGAAATATCTGTCTCTCCCCACAGTTCTGTCAATCTTTGCTTCATGTATTTCGGGCTCTGTTGTTACATGCATATATGTTCATAAAGGTTACATTTTTCTGATGGATTGAGTTTTGTCACTATAAAATGTCTGCCTATGTATCTAGTAATATTTTATTTTTTTGTTTTAAAATATTTTTATATGATATTAGTATAACCACTTCAGATTTCTTGTAGTCACTATTTTGCATTATGTATCTTTGTCTAGGCTTTTGCTTTCAAAGTATTTGTGTTGTTAATCTGCTGTAGCTTTTTAATCTTGTTTTACAACACATGCATTTTGAATGGATTGTTTAATCCATTTACCTTTAATATGATATAATCTATTTAGATCTGCCCTTTTACTTGTTGCCTATATTGTGCATGCCTTCGTCTTCCTCTATCACTCCCTTACTTCTTTCTTTCACATTTAGTGAATGTTTTCTAGTGTAAAATACAGTAAGTGAATGTTTTCTGGTGTAAAATATTGTTCCTTTGTTTTTCATTACTTCACTAGAAACAGATCCACAGGGTGCCTCTTGCCACTCTTCCATAAGTGGAACTTCCTGTTATTCTTTTAACACAAATAAATACTACTTGGTCTTCAGTGAAATAGGGTGGAAGCTCTGATATGAGCAAGTTTTTCCTGCAGGCGGAAGGATGTTCACGAGAGGAGAGTCCTCAGAGCTATCTCAAGCTCAGGGAACTGAGCCAAACTTATTTTTGTAGTTGGTAAGAATAAAAATGCATCAGTGTTTTGTAGTTGGCAACCATCATAAAGTGCCTATCTTCATATATCAGTGTTAATGATGACATAATGCACCCCGGGGAAGTATAGCAGCAAAGAAACAATTAACTTAACATTTAGTGCCTTCATTTTGCCTGCAGTGAAAGACTAATGAAATAAGAAGTAGCAGCCTTTTGTATGCCTTTTTCTGCATCTGTGACTGGTTATCAACTCACAATGGCTGAGAATAATGGCAGAGTAGATTACTTCTGTAAAACAGGTATCAGAACAGCTCCAAGTACTCAGGAGCTATCTGCTAGCATTAAAATCTTTTCATTCATTTGTATCAGATTTTTTCTAGCCCATAAAGTAGCTAGACTAGAGAGAAATCAGGTAGGCTACAGCAAAACTTCATTGGTGAGGAGCCAGGGTCAGCGTGCAGGATGCAATCGCAGGAGTCTCTGGTAGTGGGCTCTGGAGTCAGGTCAGAGCTTCTCTCAGGATCACCCCATTTTAGAAACAAGGTGGCCAGAACAAAAAGGAACTGACATAAGTGTTTTGTTGTTTTATTTGTCATTTTCTTTGGTTAATTTCCTGTTGACTGGGCTATTCTAACAGCCAGGTTATTTTTCCTTTTTGGTTTAATGAGAATTTATTTTAGTAAACAGTTCACAAATCCTTTAATGACAGGTGAATTCATTTTGTGTTGGGTACATTCTGATAACTAATATTCAAAACTTATTTTTTTACTTTGATATTCTATTATTGTTTTTTGCTTATGATGCTTGTTTGTTCCTTGCTGAAAGATCTATTTTCTTTTTAAATCCAGGAATACTATTTTTTTCTGAGTTTTGTTTTCCTGTAAATTGCTCCTATATTATATTGTAATATTTTGTGTCTCTTGTACCCAAGGTATCAGCACAGGAAAATTCATGCCTGTCATATGTCAATTTGTGGATTATATACTCCATAATAAAATATGACT